GTGATACTTTGGCCAAAAGGTGACAATATGTTGTTTCGAACCATTCACTGGAAAAAAAAAACACATTGGATCTAAAGTCCAGACTCTTAAAAACATCGACAAGAAAAAGTACTCTTGATTCAAGCAGAATCTAGCTTAAATCAAGAACCAATCCTCTTAATTTAAGGGGATTTCGTTTTGATTCAAGCAAAAATCCGATTAAATCAAGAGTATTTTTTCTTGTCAATGTTTTCAAGAGTCTGGACTCTAGATCCAATGTGTTTTTTTTTTTTTCCCAGTGCTTTACAAACCGAGATACGTGGTTGCAGATTTACGCCGTCGATGTACTCAGCAATCGCCGTATCCCGTATCAAGCACGTATAAAAGGAATGAAATTGATACCTTTGACTTGGAGTCAAAAATCTCCATGCAATACTGAAAAATAAGAGAAATTGGGCTTACAATTTGTCAAACCGGGAGAAGATTTCGAGCCGCGATGGCTCGACCTGCGATGGGTCGAAAGCGGCGCTGTAATGACGGGCGAGGTAATGATTTAATTTCCCGGAGCGAGTTGTGTGTGTTGATTTCGTTTCTTCATTTGATTCCGGGCGCATTGTGGTTTATTAATTACCGCCCAGATATGAATTAGTGGATTCGAAATCTAACACTTTTTACCGCGGAGGCGCAACAAAGTGGAATTTTCTTTTTTTCGGGGGCCCGTCTCTGCTGCTCGGCCGCCTCTCTGCATCTGATTGTGACGTCATGAGCGGGAAAATGAATTAATTCCACTCCGATGCCAATTACGTCACGAACGAGGGGCAAATCACAGGACAGCAAACATTTTATGGGTCTTGTGCGATACGCGGTTCAATACGATTTCATAAACGCTAATCCGAAAATATTATCAACGTAATTTCATTTTAAAAATGTTTTGGTTCTCGTTCATGTATACTCAACAATATTCTTAAGTTTTGTTTCTTTCGTTTCGTTTTGGTTCTGGTTTTTTTGGGGGGGGGAGGGTGGGGCTAGTAAATTATTAAAAATATTTAAAATAATCTGGTATTGCTGTTATTTACTTTATGAATTAGTATAATACATTAACAATATTAGAATCTGTCCAGTGACGATGCAAAAGAGCTTAGTTCGCCTTCAGTTGGACGAGTAGGCAAATAATATAACATACGCGCCAAATTAGTCTCATCATCCGCATGACTTACTAACTTAGGCTGGTCCACGATATTCTGGGTTTTAAAACATGAATCAGACAATGACCACAAACCCCTGGTAAGATCAGTGGAATTGGGCTGTGGTTCGTGATGGTAAGCTTCGGCGAGGACTTTCCATTGCTCTATATCGCTATGTGGGGTTGCTAAAAAGAAATCTGCTCCGGTCCCTGCGGCAAAGCAGGAAATTATATGCTGGAATTTTAATTTTAATTTATTTTCTTAGCTTTCCTTTTTATAGGTGGACAGGAAATGCGTCACCCACAGCGAAACGAAAACATCATATAGAGTCAAATTTAAAAAAAATATTATAATAAAACCAGATAAAGATATTTTCTTCACTTACGGAAAAACGTAAAATAATACGATGAACTGCTTTTGGTTTTGAGACTCTTTTGAACCGCGAAAATATATTATTTTTTTTTTCCTTCTTCAAAATATGTTTCAATAGCTATTTATCGCTGATCAATACCTGGGCCTAAAAAGTAGCAGATAAACTGTGCTCTTATATATCTATTGAGACCAAAAAACGAATGAAGGATGGTCCTCGCACAGGGCGCATGGAACAATTAAGAATTCGACACGCAGGTCGGGGTGAGTGGATCTTCAGTCGTTCCTTGCGCCGCGCCGCAAAAGAATGAGGAGTCAATAGAGATATCATGGCGTGTCAAAAAATCTATAAAATTAGTGTCATTGTTGCCTAAACGCCTTAAATAAAGGCCCAGCAAGGTTGTCGCTTTGGTCGTCTAAAGATCGAGAAAAAGTGAGTTTGCTCACTTTTAGAGGATTTTACTCCGAATTCTAATAGCCTCGCTGAAGACCGTTGTCATCTAGTATTGCAGCCCATAAAATCTGGTATTGCTGTTATTTACGTTATATTTTGAAGCAATTTTCTTAAATTTCACCCTTTTTCAAGTCTTCATTCTTTTTGAAAGCGGGGCGATTTCATTTAGTCATACATCTGCTACTTCTACTGAAAAGTGATTCAGTGTGATCGAGCTTCGTTTTGTCCCAAAATTGAAGGTTGTGTGATACAACCCTCAATATTAGAATAAATTAAGGTCCAACAAATTTGTCACTTTGGTCGTTGAAAGATCACCGAGACAAAGTGAGTTTGCTCAGTTGTACACCATTTTACTCCGAATCGTAATAGCCTCGTTGAAGACCGTTATCATCTGGTATTACAGCCCATAAAATCTGGTATTGCTGATATTTCCTTTGTATATTTTGAAGCAATTTCCTTATATTTTACTCCCATTCAAGTTCTGTCACACAACTTGAGACACAGGTGGGTCCGTTTCGGAAACGGCTCGCAACCTTGAATTAATCGTAAACTTGGCAATGTCGTATCTGTATGCGCACGCGCGGGATACGGGGCTATATTTCTCCCAGCGTGTAGCGTTTTCGCTTTTTCTGTAAATGCGAAATAATTGTCGCTCCATGAGGCAAGGGAATCGCTCGTTTTCGGCACGCAACAGCAAATTGGTTTTCAGCGACTTCACCCGAGCCGTCCCGATCGTATCTCCAACTGTTCGCTCAATTTTCAAAATCTGTTGAGTACATCTTAATTTATACCCACCAGCCTGCGTGCCAAACCGTCCTGGAAACGTTTAAAATCTGAAGAACAGGGTAACTTTTCGTCGTGGTACGTCTTGAGAATGAACGTCAATACAGATGCATTTGCTGAAAACATTTCCCAAGGAGGCAATAACGATCGATAAATTGTATCCATCTAAGATCCTCGTTTTGTTTTTGTTGCTAAACCATAGTTAGGGAAACAAAGAAAACTGTGTTCAAAGAAGAGTTCTCCGTTCTGTTTCCATCCCCACTCCCCCTTCACTGAACAATTTTGTTTTTGAGATATTATTTTGACTTAAGGCGTTGTTTCTTGTCGAATAAGTTTTTTTTTCTCTTTTTTTTTCCAAAGTTAAATCCGTGCAAATTCAACTCATTGAGGTAAAAAATCGTGAAGTTTGGGTTAAAATAACAATTGCAAAACGACGTTTCTTTAACTCAAAAAAACGGACTTTCACTTAAATCCACGCGGAATTAACTTTAAAAAACCTTAATTTTGTCGACAAGAAAAGACGTTTTAAGTCAAAATAATATCTCAAGAATTTTTTTTCCAGTGTTTCCTTGAAAGTTGAGCTTCAGCAAAAATAATTGTCTTAAAGCGTATTTTTGCTTTAGATCTGATAAGATTGCCTGAATCCGATCCAGAAAATCTGTACTTCTTCGTGAGCCCGACCCTTAATTTCGGGGCTAACCTAACGAATGGCTGGCGCTCACTGCAATGGGGTCATCGTTGGGATCCAACCTGTCGCCCGTGAAATACAAGGGACTTAGTGATTCTGGCGGGCATCTCTGTGATTGGTTCGTACTGATGGGATTCACTTCACAGGTTCGGTTTGACGAACCGGAAATTTGGTTTGACAAACCGAATTAGTTGAGATGATATGGAACACCGAACTTTGGTTCATGCGACCAAACTTATTTTACAGTGATGTATACACCGTTTCATTCACGATTTTTATTCCTGCCTTTTTTTGCAAGGATCGCCGGTTGACAGCTGGGTGTGGAAAGTAACCGTCTGTTAAACCATAATAACATTCATGAAGTTCGTTGCGGTTGATGAAAGTGGGCTACTGCAAGTGACTAACTGCCGCGGATAACAGCCTACAGTCAGCCCGAAAAGGAAAGCAATCAGAAAGCTGCCGTGTTGAAATACAATATGCAATTAATAAAATTTTCCGGCGAGGCCGTCAGAGGAAATTGATGAGTGAAGAGGAGGTGTCATCAAAACCTATGCTTAATTCAATTTGTTTGACATATGGCTACCGCGGTGTCCCTGCGACCCGGGCGGGATTGGGCCACTATTAAGCAGTAGGCTGTCTAATAACACAGCGGTGGCATCTAATAATACCGGGCAACCTCAGGCGTCGGATAAAGGGTGCGGAAAATTGACTATTACCATCAACCCTTACAAAACAAATGCAGGTGTTGTTTTCATTTTCGAGTGATACCTTCACGTCTCCGGCGCTGTTTCAAGATTGTCAGATCATTCAGGAAAATTTGGATATAATGGAGATGTTGCATGTGTGAGGAATTTGTGATTTGACTGTTGATTCTTATGTAAAAGTTCGCGAGAAACACGATGGTGCCACTGGTTTCCCGTCTCCCCATTGTTTTCTGCGCTAGATTCACCGCAAACTATACCAAAATCAACACAAAAATCTGTATGGTTTGTATTTCACCCACTATATTAACAAAAAAAAAAAAAAAAAAAAAAACACACACACACATCAGTGACGTATAGCTAGGAAATGGAGCTGTTGCATGTGTGAGGAATTTGCGATTTGACCATTGATTCTTATGTAAAAGTTCGCGAGAAACACGATGGTGCCACTGGTTTTCTCTGAGATCAACTCCCAAGCTCAAAAAAAGCTCTCAAGTTGAGGCCAAAATGGAGGGGATAACCCACGTTATCCTCAGAGTCCACCTCTACATCAAGACAAACTCTCCATGCAAAGATAGGGAGCTAATACATTGACAGGGTTGCCGTGTTTTCAGTTTTAGAGTCCCCAAATAAAGTGGCAGCTCCGTCAATGTATTTGCTCCCTATCTTTGGATAGAGAGTTTGTTTTGATGTAGAGGTGGACTCTCAGGATAGCGTGGGATATTTCCTCCATTTTGGCCTCAACTTGAGAGCTTTTTTTGAGCTTGGGAGTTGATTTCAGAATTTCAGTGTAATAAATTACATGATTAGGTTTACGAATAGAGAGTAAAACAAAACAAAAATTTAATTAAAAGTAAAACCCATTCAATTTATTACAAAAATAGGAAACGACCGTAGGTATAAAAAATCTCATTGAAAACAAGTTATGGCACTTTCAGCGCGGTAGGTGTGATCATATTGCACAGCAGAAAATAACACGCGTGTCTCGAGAGATTATCCACGAGGTGAAGTTTGAGGCCTGGCCGCGTAGGATAGGAAGAGAAACGCACTGTGTAGTGCACAGGGCCATCCCTCTGATAGTAATCCAACAGTTCCAAAACTTCACTAAAGATGAGATGATGGAAGCTGCTTACCGGTCCAATCTCTCAGAATAGACTCTGCTTTCGACAGAGTTTCATCTTTCTAAAAAGAGTAGGCAAGAAAATACCAACGATCAAGCAACAAACGAAACAGAACAAATGGAGGCATTTGTTTGTTTGAGACAAAAACGGTTCGGCAGAAAGGATCCAAGCCACATCAGCTATTGCGACATTTAATGGGCAATTTGAATTTTTTACACGAGAGCGTTTGTGCGGATTCCTTTGAAAATTTTAAGGAATTTGTCTCATACTGTACAGAAAATTCACTGAAATTTTCACAAAAATCCGCACGACCGTTTTTATGTAAAAAAAACTGAATTGCCCAATTAAAGTTGACAATAGATGATGTTGCTTGGTTCCTTTCTGTTTAACGCGGTCCAAATGAGAATCGATACATCTTTTACAGATGCTCAAAATCATTTTTTCCCTCCGATAATCATGGCATTTTCAACGTCAGAGTAATATTCACTTGAAAAATACTGAATACTTCCACATTTCTCAATCCCAACATGAAAAAAATGAAGAAAAATACATTGGTGTAGAGTGTTCCAGACTGCAAGACAACTCGTATCAGGATTTTCCCTCGGTCGTTTTACGTCGGACGTAGTTAGAGACGGCGATGTTGAAGAGGAAAACGACCCCAAGGCCCAAGGCATCTAAATTTCGTGGCCCCGGAGTCTTTCTGATTTGCCTGGAGTGTGTGTGTGTGTGTGGGGGGGGGGCGAAAGAGGGGGTTCTCACTTAGAAAACCGGGGTTGGCCTTAAACATTAGAAATTATTCCATCGAAATCAGAAAATGTTTAAGCTGCACACAGAAATTCAAAATTAGGCCTGCGTGTCCGAAACATGACCCTTAAAGGAGGAGGATAGAGCCCTTATCCAAAAAATGCTAATTCGCTACAATTTGACGCAGAGGTTTGGAAAAAAGATGCTTTCAAGGGTAATCGACCCCCAGGAATCCGAAATTAACGGTTCCCCACCACCCAGAGTCAATGAAGAACAGGGTCCCTTGTGTCGTGTCCCCGTATTCCCATTGCAGGGTTTCAAAATTTCTGTTCCTACTTTATTTTTTCGAAGAGAGGTAGCCAATTTTATAGCTTGACATTTGTATAGAATATTCTGCTGACAGAGAAGAAAAATCAAGAAAGTCTTCGAGAAATCGTGTTATAACTAGTTTTAGGAAACTAAATTAGGATGGGAAATCTGCAACGTCGCGGATGGAGATACGTGATTCCGCACGTTGGATATTTAAATGCGAAGGAATTCGACTGTTAAGTATGCCAAAAGTCGCAGACATAAAATTCACTAATGGTTGTGTTCTCTTCATACTGTGATTAGAAGTATGTGTGTGACATGAAATAGAAATGAAAAATCATTACCTTGAAGAAGCAGTAGCGAACGTAGTCTTCGCCGAGGGGCTTGTTCTGAGGACAGTAGAAAGCTGAGTAGGGGATTCCTTGTAGCTTCACATTTTTAGTCATCCATTTTGTAAATTTGAAATCTTTGTAAGAGTCATTTTCAGAATTTAAATCCGCCTTGTGAGCTAGGAGGGAAAAAATAAGCGTAAATGAATTGAAGTGACCCGGCGAAGAGAAAAATTGGGGATTCTGTCGGTCGATTCGTTGATGAGAGCGAAACATTTATTTGGGATGAACATTTCCATATATTTTCTCCAATGGGCTCAAACATTTTTGTAACTTGAAATAGTCGAAAACATGGTACGTATTATACGGAAAATCTTATCGTGAAATGGCTTGCTGTCATTTTGACAGTGGAGTGAATATCGTATCTCACCCTCGCTTTTACTTCAGTTGAAGAAACTGAAATTTATGGCTTTCTTTACAAAACTACAAAATGGGTCTATTCCACGCACGAGACATGCCCGAATAACTAGACCTCGTGAAAGTGAAATCGTAAAAAAATTACGATGGGCACGTCAAAAATGTATTCTCTCTTCAGCGAACAATCAGCGTAATTTGTGTTTGTGATACGCTTTGTCAAAAATTTCGCCTCTGAGGACAGTTTTCCATATTGGCCGGAAATCAGGTTCTCCTAGAGAGAGACGCAAGAAATCCTGATCTAAAAAAACAACCTCACGAACTTTCCTTGCGCATGACTTCAACTGACTTAAAGCTGTCTTTTCTGCCAAATAAAAACCTATCTGGCATGAGGAAGAAAGAAACGTTTGAAAACTAATAAAAACATACGCAAGATAAACTAGGAGACTCTTGGTTTTTTCTAAGGTTAGGTTTCCTTGTGTCTCTTTTGGGGAAACCTTGATCGCCGGTGATTAAGAAAAACTTATTGATGTTTCTGATGAGGTGATTTCAAATACAAGAAACATGAAAAGCGTTTGCCTGACTCACCTAAATCAGACCATTTGCTAACGACGAAATAGCCACCTTCTGGAATGGTTGGTGCAAAACCTACATCTTTCAAGACCTGGCAGAAGTAGTCTCGCTTGGGTTGCAACATGGAAGACATCTTCTCAAAGTAGCTATTTGGTGTGCCCAGTAGAGAAATTTCGCGCTCGAAACCTCGAGCTACGGCTTCCTATCATGAGAAAAATACTTAATTAAAGGCATTCTGCTGAAAAATGTAAATGTAAAGGACAGGATACAACCTGAAACAATTTGTCCCATCAAAAAACGATATTTTTAATGGATTTAAATGGAGGAAACCCAATGTTACCAACTTGCCAAGTCGCCCCTGCGCAGCACTTCACCACCGCTTGGCGGGACAATTCTTTGTTTTTCACTTCTTCAAGGAATAAAAACGCAATTAAATTACGCAATCTCCACTCTTATGGAGGAAATGTAATGATAATAAGTTGGTAATGGCTCAGTTCTGAGAAGTTCTCCCCTATTAAACCTGATATTTTACATCATAAGTGCGTTTTTGTCGCATTCTATGTTCCAACCACCCATCATTAACACTTCAAATCAAATTCCTCGATCGTTACTGGGGATTTTTAGATTTAATGAAAGTCGGATTGGCAGACTAAAATACCTGAATTGGAGTCACACCGGTGTATACGCAGTTCTGATGAACTATAACCATATTCTTCATTAACTCCTTAGGGCAGTAGGCCCATCCTAATTTCCAACCGGTCGCGCTAAATGTTTTACCGGCTGATCCAATAGTGATTGTCCGCTCCCACATTCCCGGCAACGTCGCTGCAAAATGGAAAAAAACAAATGATACAAAATTGAATTCTTTGAGGATCGGTTTGAAGTTGCACGCACCACTTAGACATTTTGCAGCACCAGTGGCGATTCTTGAAAGTTGGCAATACTGCCGTTCTTCCATTGAAATGTACGTGAAACAATTTGCCTCACCTAAAAACGATATTTTTAATGCATTTAAATGAAGGAAACCCAATGCTACCAACTTGCAAAGTCGCCCCTGCGCAGCACTTCACCAACGCTCGGCGGGACAATGGAGATGTTGCATGTGTGAGGAATTTGCGATTTGACTATTGATTCTTATGTAAAAGTTCGCGAGAAACACGATGGTGCCGCTGGTTTTCTCTGAAAGCAACTCCCAAGCTCAAAAACAGCTCTCAAGTTGAGGCCAAAATGGAGGGGATATCCCACGCTATCCTGAGAGTCCACCACTACATCAAGACAAACTCTCCATGCAAAGATAGGGAGCAAGTAAATTAGCAGGGTTGCCGTGATTTCAGTTTTAGAGTCCCCATATAAAGTGGCAGCCCTGTCAATATACTTGCTCCTTATCTTTGCATAGAGAGTTTGTCTTGATGTAGAGGTGGACTCTCAGAATAGCGTGGGATATCCCCTCCATTTTGGCCTCAACTTGAGAGCTTTTTCTGAGCTTGGGAGTTGATTTCAATGAAAACCAGTGGCACCATCGTGTTTCTCGCGAACTTTTACAAAATAATCAATAGTCAAATCGCAAATTCCTCACACATGCAACATCTCCACTGACCGACTGCACTGCGTTTAGCGCAATGCGAGAAGTATTCGTGCAGTCTTGTAGGCGCTTATATGCGCCTCACGTCGACTGCACTGTTTGGCGCAATGCGTGAAGTATTCCTACAGTCTTGCAGGCGCTAATGTGCATTTAACGCTGGCCGCACTGTGTTTCGAACGGTTATTCAGACTCGCGTTAGAATAATCGCGGCATCGAATCATGTTATTGTCAGGTCAAAATTCAACGGGACCCGCCGCGCGTTCGCTCTTTTTTTTCAGCCATCGGGGGACTGGGACGGTCAATCATCTTTTACATAAAAATCAATAGCCAAATCGCAAATTCCTCACACATGCAACATATCCATTCTTTGTTCTTCACTTCTTCAAGAAGTAAAAACACAATAAAACGACACGATCACCACTCTATTTCCAGTCTAATTTCTCCTATCACACTTGAATATATCAAGCTTTTGTCCCTGAGCTTCTCTGTAGAATAAATAGCTCAATGAAGCTCATCAATGTGCAAGAAATTACTTATTGATGACCCAACGATCAAATGAATTGACAAAGGCTCTACTACAGAGTCTATGACATCAAACTACGAATGAGGACTGATGCTTGAGCGCATTTTTTTCTCTTCACCTTCTTTCTTCGCCATCACACTCCTAGAATTTTGAATACAACTTTTTTATTCTAAGAGTCAAACAATTTTAAATTAGACCAATAGTTAAGACGGTAATGCACACGAAAACTTAGCCCGAAAATACGAATACTGAATACAACAGTAAGAGATTAAAACATGAGCAAACAACGCTAAACAATGTTCATAACACTAAAAACAGCCATTTTCCCGCTTCGAGCCGTTACCAGCTCATTTTCAGCTACAAAAAACGAAAAAATAAAGACATAGTTGAGTGGCGGCCTGACGCTAGACGTTATTAAACGTTTACGTGATAGCGTCTGGGGTCAGGTCACCATTCAAATTTTGATTTAATTTCTCGTTTCTTGCACCTAAAAATGAGCCGGTAATGGCTTGAAACGTTCTGCCTTGGGTTTCAAAACAGTTGGTCCAAGAAATCACCATAAAAATGAAACGCAATGAAAACTTACCCATACGGACGTGAGTTGCTGGTTTGTATACAAGCCATTCATACACTTCATCGGCGATACAAATTACATTGTGCTTTTTACAAAGATCAGCGATCACCTGCAACTCTTCGTAGGTGAAAACCTTACCAAGTGGGTTATGCGGGGTGTTCAGAATGAACAACTTGGTTTTACTGTTGAACGCCTTTGCTAGTTCATCTGGATCTAAAACCCAATCTGCAGAACTTCCACTATCAGGGTTATTACTTTTCTGTTCAACAAAAAAAAATAAATTTAGTAAGATATTATGAAGGATACAATTGATTTTCAAAATAAATTTGGAAGATGTTAATTAAGGAGATGGATGAAAACATATTGCATACAGCTGAAAATTACGTGCCTCTATTGCAACGCTTCAAACGTCGCCACATTATTTTTAGTCCTATTTTCCTTTTTTTGTTTTTACCAAAAAAAAAAACCACGGTCCCTGATTCTAAATCGTAGCTATTGGGATTGTTATTTTGGTTTTTTATAGTAAAAATTAGAAGAGAGTCATAAATAATAAAGCATCGTCTAGGTGTCGCTGCAATTTTAGCGTTCGTCCCGCCAGCGAGGGTCGGCAGGTCTGTGAAGACATCTTCGCGATTTCACGCGCCTTCAATCCGGCGGAGCTGCAACATGCTTACACCCGTGGTCAAATAGTTGTATGTCACGCCTGCCGTAAACGAACTCAAATATCGATGGTTCCACGCGAAAAGGAGCTTATTTACCTCGATTGCAACGTTGCAAACCACAGTCAATGCTTCAATTTCAATTAATATATTTTAAAAGAAACGCACAGATATTATTAAAAAATTTACAATAATTTTACGAACGATTTTAATTCAAATCACGGGAAATTTCGTCGCGACACTATATATAGTCCTAGTTTCCTTCTTTGTTTTTACCGAAAAAAAACCATGGCCCCTGATTCTAAATCGTAGCTATTAGGATTGTTATTTTGGTTTTTTATAGTGAATATTAGAAGAGAGTCATAAATAATAACGCGTCGTCTAAGTGTCGCAGCAGTTTTAGCGTTCGTACCGCCAGCGAGGGTCGGCAGGTCGGTGAAGACATCTTCGCAGTTTGACACGCCTTCAATCCGGCGGAGCTGCAACATGCTTACACCCGTGGTCAAATAGTTGTATGTCACGCCTGCCGTAAACGAACTCGAATATCGATGGTTCCACGCGAAAAGGAGCTTTTTTACCTCGATTGCAACGTTGCAAACCACAGTTAATGCTTTAAATTCTATCAATATTTTTTAAAAGATACGCACAAATTTGCTGAAACATTTTAAGCACTTTTCGAACGATTTTCATTGATATCACGGGAAATTTCGTCGCGACATTATATATAGTCCTAGTTTCCTTCTTTGTTTTTACCGAAAAAAAAAACCATGGTCCTTGATTCTAAATAGTAGCTATTAGGATTGTTATTTTGGTTTTTTATAGTTAAAATTAGAAGAGAGTCATAAATAATAACGCGTCGTCTAAGTGTCGCAGCAATTTTAGCGTTCGTCCCGCCAGCGAGGGTCGGCAGGTAGGTGAGGACATCTTCGCAGCTTGACGCGCCTTCAATCCGGCGGAGCTGCAACATGCTTACACCCGTGGTCGAATAGTTGTATGTCACGCCTGTCGTAAACGAACTCAAATACCGATGGTTCCACGCGAAAAGGAGCGTATTTATCTCGATTGCAACGTTGCAAACCACAGTAAATGCTTTAATTTCAATCAATATTTGTTAAAAGATACGCACAGATTTGCTGAAAAATTTACAATAATTTTACGAACGATTTTAATTGATATCACGGTAAATTTCGTCGCCACATTATATTTAGTCCTATTTTCTATTACACCCGTGGTCGAATAGTTGTATGTCAAGCCTACCGTAAACGAACTCAAATATCGATGGTTCCACGCTACAAGGAGCGTATTTACCTCGATTGCAACGTTGCAAACCACAGTTGATGCTTCAATTTTAATCAATATTTTTAAAAAGATACGCACAGATTTGCTGAAAAATTTACAAGAATTTTTCGAACGATTTTAATTGAAATCACGGGAAATCCGAATGAGTTTCATCTCCGTCAAAAAGATTGACACTTAAGGTACTTACATTTCTAAGAGGAATAAAGACCGGAGTTCCACCAGCAGATATGGTCATCGGCTCGTAGCAATCGAAGTACGGCTCCACAATGATGACCTCATCACCAGGACCAACGTTCCCATGAATAGCACAGTACAGTGCCTCATATGCACCAATTGTCACCAGGATCTCGGATAGTGGATCTAGTTTCCTTCCGATCAGCTTGCTGTAAAGATCAGCGATGGCGTTGACTAAACGAGGATGACCCTGTAAAATCAGAATTAAATTGGTTCAAACAGTTAAAATAATCAAGAAATATTTTTCTGAGGTCTTCCTCCAAAATAATATTAAAAATAAAATGAGGGTTTTCGATTTGCTCTCCCTCCCAAAAAAATCTCGAACATTGAAAACAACCTAGTGATTGAAAAACCATGGAATGTTTGCTTCTTTGAAGTTTTTGCGTGCACCCAGCTTCTAGCTTTCTTAAAGTCTGGTTTGAGGGTGGGTATCTGATACTTTACTATTTCCTCCTATTCTATAATCAGGTTCCAAAAAATGTTTCAAAATACGTACAAAGCCTCGTGTGTATTGATTCATGAGGTGGTTGGATTCAGTTACTTCGGCAATGTATTTCGGCAGGTACTCAGGAGGAGCTGGAAAATCAGGAAAACCTTGGCCTAGGTTACAATCAGGCTTATGCTCAATGGCCAGCTGAATATACTCCACCCTTGAAAAAATAAGCACATAAGTACATCTCATTACATATTAAAATGTATTTTGGGTTAAAATTAAAAAAAAAGAAAATCCATAAATATCATGCACTTTAAGTTCTCCTTCCATTTTAATTCAAATGCGCCACACTGATAAAAAAAACACATTGGATCTAGAGTCCAGACTCTTGAAAACATTTACAAAAAAAATACCCTTGATTCAATCGGATTTTTGCTTGAATCAAAACGAAATCCACTTAAATTAAGAAGCTTGGTTCTTGATTTAAGCTAAATTCTGACTGAATCAAGAGTACTTTTTCTTGTCGATGTTTTTAGGAGTCTGGACTCTAGATCCAACGAGTTTTTTTTTCCAGTGCAGTAATTTGGAACACGCGCAAAACTAAGATTCTCCTTCAATTTCGCAAGATACCACATACCTACTCCGGAGTTCAAATAGTGGCTCACTTCTTATCTGCAACTTAAACAGGGAAAAATCACTCAAATTTCATCTCTATAGTGCGAAAGGACGCGATATTTCCAGCGGATTCGTAAAATACTAAACATTTACGCGCTTTTTCCCTCAGTATCGCGAAAACTGCGCGATTTTTCGAGACATTTTCAAAGAAAAATGAGGCAATACACGGTAATACCACAATCATTGCGGCAAAGGCACGATTTTTCGAGTGCTTTGATAATTCGATAAAAAATTACGCGTAATTCAAGGAAGCTTTCCATCGCAGCGGTTGATTGTGAACATAGATGATCACACAATTCTCACCGTAACATTGCAAAAATCAAGGTATTTTTACATCGATTCGAGCAAACTACACATTAAAGTCAATAATTTGGAACAAGCGAAAACTTAAGATTCTCCTTCAATTTCGCGTGATACCACATACCTACTCTGGAGTTCGAATAGTTGCTCGCTTCATTTCTGCCTTTTAAAAAGTGAGCAACCACTCGAATTTCATCTGAATATCGCGAAAGGACGCGCTCTGTATAGTACGCGTAATTCATCTTAATATCGCGGCGTTCATTCATGTTTCAATCTCAAGCAGTAGAGTTGGAACGTAAATTATACCCCAATTTTCACCAGAACATCGCGAAAAATACGCGATTTTTAAATCAATGCGAGCATACTATGCAAATATGTGGTAATATGGGACAAACAAAAAACTAAGATTCTCCTTCTATTACGTGTGATGCAACATGCCTACTTCAGAGTTCAAATAGTTGCTCACTTCATTTCTGCAACTTTAAAGGTGATAAACCACTCGAATTTCATCTCAAAATCGCGATAGGACGCGATATTTCCGGTGGATTCGTAAAATATTAAACGTTCACGCGCTTTTTCCGTCGGGATCGCGAAAAATGCGCGATTTATCTGGCGATTTTCAAAGAAAAAATGAGGTAGTATACGGTAATACCACAATACTTACTACAAATACGCGATTTTTCGAGCGGTTTCATAGATTCATAACAGAAATAACGCGTAAGATTCTCCTTCAATTCCGCGTGATACCAAATACCTACTGCGGAGTTTGAATAGTTGCTCACTTCATTTCTGACTTTTAAAAAGTGAGCAACGACTCGAATTTCATCTCAATACCGCGAAAGGACGCGCTTTGTATAGTACGCGTAATTCACCTTAATATCGCGTCATACATGTTTGTCTCAATCTCAAGCAGTCGATTTGGAACCTAGATTATACCCCAATTTTCACCAGAATATCGCGAAAAATACTCGATTTTTCGAGCGATCTCATAGATTCATAACAGAAATAACGCGTAAGATTCTCCTTCAATTCCCCGTGATACCAAATACCTACTCCGGAGTTCGAATAGTTGCTCACTTCATTTCTGACTTTTAAAAAGTGAGATACCACTCGAATTTCATCTCAATATCGCGAACGACGCGATAATTCCGGTTGACTCGTTAAATAAAAACGATTACCCGCTTCATATCTTAATATGCCGGGAAGTGCGCGATTTTTCCATCGATTTAGTGAAAAAAAAAGAAAAAATGCGGGATCAAATCACAAAAATGCGACAAATTCGTATTTTTACCAGCGGTTTCATAAATTCATCTAAACTTGAGTGCAATTTACTTTAATATCGCGGAATATACGCGCAAATCATAAGCGTTCGATTCTGAACATAAATGATTACGCAATTTTCTCGTGAATATCGCGAAAATATGCGAATTTTATTCCGATGAAAGCATAGTGTAAATAAACGTCAGTGATATGAGACAGGTAAAAACCTTAGATTCTCCTTCAATTTTGCGTGATACCACATACCTACTCTGGAGTTTGAATAGTTGCTCACTTCACTTTTGCATGTTAACAAGAGAAAGATCACTCGAATTTCATCTCAATATTGCGTAACGACGCTAAATCCCGGTCGATTCGTTATATCCTAAATGATTCCCCGCTTTTCATCGCAATGTCCCAGAAAATGTGCGAGTTTTCATAAGGCTTTGTACCAAAAATGAGAAAATACGCGATAATATCACAATATCGCAGCAAATTCGAAATTTTCACAGCGCTGACATCGAAATCATTACAGATTACGAAGTTTGTTCGAAACAAAAATGGTACCCCAATTTTCCTCTTAATATCGCAACAAATATGCTATTTTTATGCCGATTCGAGCATACTAGGCACGGAAGTCAGTAATTTGAAACCATACCTACTCCGGAGTTTGAATAGTTGCTCACTTAATTTCTGCCTATTAAAAAGTGGGAAACCTCCAAAACTTCATCTAAATATCGCAAGGGAATGCGATTTTTTAGAGTAGATTCGTAAATTCTCGGACAATTACGCGCTGATTATATCGATGACTTGGAAAATAACCGATTATTCCAGTCAAATTCGAGGGGAAAAAAGGAGAATACCACAACGTCGCGGCGAATGCGTGATTTGTCCAACGGTCTTTAAAAATCAGTGAAAATTATGGGTTGTTTACCGTAGGGTCGCGGCATGAACGCAAATCTCAAGCGGTTGGTTCAAAACAAAAATCGTCCCGGTCCCAATTTTCCCCTGAATATCGCGAATGATGCAAGCATAGTGTTCAACGAGGCCAGTAATTTGGAACAGGCGAAAAACCAAGATTCTCCTTCAATTTCGCCTGATACCACAAACCTACTCCGGAGTTCGAATAGTTGCTCACTTCATCTCTGCCTATTATAAAGTGATAAATCACTCGAACTTCATCTCAATATCGCTAGGGAACGCTATTTTTTCAGAGGATTCGTAAAATATCGAACAATTACGCGCTGATCATATCGGTGTTGCGAAAAATACCCGATTATTCCAGTCAAATTCGAGGGGAAAAAAGGAGAATACCACAATGTCGCGGCGAATGCAAGATTTTTCCGACAGTTTTAAAAAATCAGTAAAAATAATGCGTTGTTCATCGTAGAATCGCGCGGTATAAACGCAAATCTCAAGCGAGTGATTTAGAACATAAATGATCCCGCAATTTTTACCTGACTATCGCGAAAAATGCGCGGTATTTACATCAATGCGAGCACACCACCCAAAACGTCAGTAATTTGGCGGAGGCGATGACCTAAAATTCTCCTTCAAATTCGCGTGATACCACATACCTACCCCGGAGTTCGAAAAGTTGCGCGCTTGATTTTCGCATTTAACGATGCAAGCATGAAGCATATGTACATGAACGTCAGGAATTTGAGACGGGCGAAAAGCTATTATAATCCTTCATTTCCGCGTGATACCGCACGGCTACTCCGGAGATCGAATATATGTGCGCTTGGGTGTCCGCTTGGACCAAAGTTGTTTCATATAATATACTTATGCGAATTTGCGTGGACATTAAAAAATACGCAATTTATCCAGCGGTTTTGTAAAAACAGAAGAAATCAAACGTTATTTTATTTTTGGCATTGTTAAGAGTACGCGAGTTTTCCATCATTTGTATAAAAACATAAAAGAATATGCATTTCAGTACCAGTTGAATCAATGAGCTTCGTCTACTTACCAGACACTGTATTCCGTTCCCTTGTATCTTTCTGGTAGACTAAATTTGTTATCCGTCGTAGCCATTGTGGGAGTTGTGCAGTGAAATGGGCAACCAGTGGAAATTATTGGCGAGAAAACTTTAATTGATTTCAATAATGTCGATCGCAGTGATGACCATGTATTCAGCATCTGAAGACAAACAAGATTTTCGGTTACTTGAGAGGAAATATACAAATAAAATATCACACTAATATTCACAAAAATATTACTTCTTTAAACAGCAAAAAAATAATTAGTGGATAAAATACAAATGACATGCATAAAAAAGCTTGCATAAAGACAACTGCCAACCGCATCGATTGCTCTACTCTTTAATCTCCCATGAGTCTTAAGCTGCCGTGCTAAGGAAAAACACCGTATGAACATTCGAGAGTTGCCAAATTTCCTTCGATAAAATGCTTATTTTTAAAGAATGTTATGAATATTTTTCTTTGAAATTTTCAGGAGCTATTGGTAAAATTGCAAACAAACTTATCTGAAAAATTGGAAGGAAAACACCCATAAGTTTACCGGGAAAGTCGTGTTTTAGCAAAGGAAATTTGGCAACGCCTGAAGGTTCATACGGCGTTTTTTCTCATAGCACGGCAGTATAAGACTCTCGTTTAAATGTTTCTCACGTGGGCTGACGGTTTAAAAATTAAGAGCAGACCGAAATTATTTGTACTCACGTAATGTGAAAGAGAACTGACCGACTAAAGACATGGAAAAGTCAAAACTTTGCGAATGGTAACGGCCGAATTAAAGTGCAAGCAGTGATATTCGAAAACTCGCGAAAAAAATAGCGTGGGAGTGTGGGCCAGAAAAATTTATTCATCCGAATGAATGAATTTAGAGTGGAGAATGCAAATTATAAGCAACATAAATCGGTGAGATAATTACTGATAAGAGACTTCATAACGACGCAGAAGGAAAGGAATGATGCAATTATTAATGAAAACCAAATCCTAATGATGACTTATATGTATACAAGTCCCATTTCTTCTCATCGCAAAATGAATGAGTCGCATTTAATAGTCCATACTGGCAATGTAGCTCAATTAATGAAAAAAAAGCACCGTTTATAAGCTACTTGACATGAAAAATGTTAGTTCACATAAAAAAAAAATGTGCACACAACACCTTCTATAATGATAACAGTTTGAGTGCTAGACATCTGTTGTGATGGTAATCAGCGAAATAAGTCGATAAAAATGACCTGAGAAGATGAAAGAGAGTGCTCAAACGATGATTCTGCCTAATTTATTTTGACGATGAAAGATTCAATAACTCTCCCGACAAGTTTTTATCACAATATTACACAACTTCTCACACCTAATGTAACATGAAACCTACGTAGATGATAAGCGGACATGCTCGATAACTGCTACAAACAATAAGTGTGCATGCTGTTTTAACTGTTAAGGTCCAGTTCCAGTACCTCCGGTTAAGAGCTGGCCTTTGATTAAAATTTGACAGACACTCTAGTACCTGTCAACCACAGGTTAAAATCTTCAGTTCAAAACTTGCCCACCAGAATTGAGATTGTCATTCAGATCATACAATTTACCGTGTTAGACCTAAAATCACCAAAATCACCATCATCTAGGGTTTTGTCTTATTGGGAAGAAAAAATTGACCGTCAGTGGTAGGACCAAGCTTAAGGACAAGGACAATGTTTATAAAAATCAGGCTTTTAGAAAAACTTGCCTTTGATATTAGTTCGATCATGGTACTCTAGAGATCAGTCCCATGTTTATTATTGTTTTAACGCATTAATTTTTCAGTTTCTTTTCGTATTTTTTCATAATTTTGCTCCTTCAAACTCGCATAGAAAGAATGTAGGTACACTGAGAAAACTACGTGCAATAAACTTAAAATATTCTCAAAAATACTGAGCTCTTTCTTGGCAGGGTAGCACGCACGAAAACAAACATCCATAATCTCTCTCAACAATACGGTACATTATACGAGAAGCGAAACACTGGTTCCGACAGCAATTCACAATTAATCAGTTTCAAATCCAGATTACACGGTTTTTTTGAACAATTTGGCCTCATCAAACTTCGATTACATTCAACTTGAGTTTGTAGACGGGGCGAGGCTCACAACGTGGGTTGCATATGTTCGCGAAAAGGAAAAAGGCAACTCAGGTTAAAGCCGCGTGAAAGAACAATTTTTAGCGACACGGTTATCACGACACGCGCGTGTAATCACAAAAACCGTAGACAATCAAAACATAATCCAGGGCTAAATCAATTTTTTTTTAAAAACAATATGACATTAATTTTTCCCCCTCATAAGTAATTTAAAAAGAATAGGTACTGCATGAAGAGAGGTCACGTGATTTTCTAAGTGATGCGAGGAGAGACTAGAAGTCGGATGGAGACATAAATTCGCAAGCATTAAGTTAATGTTTCATCTAAAAATTTATACACATACAGAAAGATTTTTGGGCTCCTAACCCATCTTGAGGCGTACATTCGCAACACTAAGCACAATTTTTTATGCGCTGATAATTGTGTTACAAGACGAGGGAAATAAATTTTAAAAAAAATAAGATGAATCAAGCATTAATAACACAGTGCAACGACGAGTTCAAAATAATACTAACGATGAGGAAAGAAAATATAAATTTAAGCAGAGTGATTAAGCGCTTATCAAAGTAAGATTGGAGAGAAGTGGTCGCGCAGACATAATGATAAAGAATGTAAATCAACCATTGAAAGTCAAGGACTTGCAATCATTAACCCGCGCGGCGCGGCGGCAGCACTTGTCACTGAGCATTAAATTTCATTTTGTACTTCATGAAAAAATTTTGAAGCTTTTTTGATATATGTAGGGAGCGATGAGACGCATAAAGGTAACAAAAACTCGATTTTGAAAGAAATCACACGAGTCGCACATTCAAGTTCTTGTGGAAATTCTCTGAAAAAATCACCTCTGAAAATTCTCAGGGTTGTAATTTTAATCAATTTTCAAAATTACGTAACTTTTTTGAAAATTTTCCTGACTATTACTAGCGTTGGAATTCCCTCATCTTTCCCTGACTCGATCCTTCCAAAAAAAAATAAAAAGGATCAATAACAGCGATGTAAAATTTGAAGCACTGCAATTCTATGTATAAATTTGTAACTTTCAGAGAACCCAGATCAGACAATTTACATGTTGCCTGGAAATATTGCCCGGAAAAAAATTTCGAGGTCAGAATCCATTATCCAGCATTAATCTCAGATTCAAAATGTGACCTGATGATAAGACACAGTGACTTGGATTCTTAAACAACAGAAATTATGTGAAATCACCAGTCTTGCGGCCCGATTATTTAAACTATGTCAGCCTGACAAGACCAGACATAGTCCTATCTTAACCATGAAATATAGTGCAATTTGAGGTCTCATCGGGCTGCTTTAAACTTTCAATAATCAGCGCGCTGTAGTGTTTGATGAAGACTTTACACGATTCATGCGTTCCGAGGGATCGATATTACTTTAATAATACTTTCCGTAGACTTACGCTAGCTTGAGTCTATCATTGAAAACCCTTGTATTAAAATTGGATCTAACTTTCATTGCAACATATCCGAAAGCCTGTACTTGAGTGTCTGCAAGCAGCTATTGGTGTGTATACACAACCAGCTCACTGGAAATCATTATGTCATCTCCGACACAAAGAAATTTATCCTCATCGCGTTGCTTCAGTATTTCACATTATCATTCTATTTTTTTATGGGGGCAAAACAAATTAATTTCCTTGAAACTTCCAAAAGTTTTGATTATGTTTTTGGGGAAAAGACATTGACAGGTACATTAAGATAAATTCGTGTCACGGTTCCTCGATGAGAAAATAAAATATTCCTAGAGATCCTGAATCGGTACAAACAAAATACTTCCCTAAATGCCAGGACAGGTGTCTTGCCTACCATGAATACGACACAGGAAATTATGGAAGGATCACAACTAACGTTTAACGTATAAATGAGTTTTAGAACACTGCAATACACAAGGGCTTTTTTTTTAATCCGTACCGCAGAGGATCCCTACGGAATGCATCCCTTTTTTATCCTGTTCCACTGGAGCATTCCATGCGTTCCAGTGGAACGCTTGAACCGCTCTCTCGAGGTGGTTTGAGGCGGCGGTTGGACCAGCCCGAACGGCAAAGAATCCGATCCCTTGCATTCCATGCGTTCCACGGAAAAAAAAAAAAGCGCTACAATGATAATGCACAACATAGCAATATTGAAACAATTACAACATAGGGAACTGAAATGAAAGTTCACTTTAAAGGGTATAGTTCGAACAATATAGTTTCAGGGTGTGGATGTCTGCATTACAGAATTACTTCCACTCCATCTTAAAGCCTTTGATGACCAGGAAGGGAGGTTATCGCTTCGGATCGTCAAAGTGTACTGACACATTGAGGACCCGCTTAACAAAATTGTCAGGTTCATGCTCTATTAGATATTTTAGAAAGAACTAAGCAGAGTTTAAATGTTGGATAAATGAAACTTCAATAAAGGTCAATATCCATACCTGTTATGTCACGCCCAGGACAGAGAATAATAGGAATGTTTTTCAGTCGAAGAACTTGTCGATGAAGAGAGCACCGCTTAAAGAAAAACCACTTCACTGCTTTTATAAATTAAATTAAAACAATACCCCCATGTGGATAAATAGTTTAAGGAATTGTACTCGGGTAAAAAGTATTTATTTACCGAAAATGTGATACGTGAATGATGAAGGAACAGGTAAGATAAGAATGCCGGGTTATGACGTGCCCTTGAGAGAGATTAATGTTAGCATTCTACCGACGTTAAAAGAACAATCGCGCACTAAGAGGTGATGAGATTATGGGTAAAAGTGTGAAATTCTGAGAGATATTACAAATAATATCAAGGCAGAAAGACAAATTCGTGATGTGAACTAACCTGAAAAGTTGGTAATGTTGATGTTTTGCTCTCGCGGCCAATGTTCCGGGAGAAGTTCCGGAAGTTTTCCGGATCTTACAGACGGAAAAAGCGGATTGGTAGAGAAAGCGGGAAGTTTGAATTCGGTCTAAACAGGAGGTTTGAACTCGGCCAATCCAATCACTGGATTGATGATTGTTGTATTTCTCTTGCTTTTGACGAGAGTAATTTTACTTTAAATTCTCTTAATTGTTAAGCTAAAGAAAAACCAAAAGAATACACGCAAGTAAATTTTTCTCAAATTAGCTATTAAAAAAATATGGTCAAGTTTCATTAGCGTGCATGATGAATCGCTGATAAAAATGATAAATGGGAAAATTTTTTAAGGATCTAGTTACTCCTTGCGACTTCTCTGGTGGGGTGCATGGGAGACCCTGAACTTGTAAAAATCAGTTAGGAGTCCCGGTACCCCCTGTAACTCATCAGAAAAGCCGCTGACTGCTGAGGGCAACTGGATCCTCAAAAATGTTTCCCATTCATCATTTTTAACCGGGTTTCATCATGCAGGCTAATGAAACTTGACCAAGGTTTTTTTTTTTAGATGGGTAATCGACCCAAACAATCCAAAATTGAGGGTGCCGATGCTCCTAGCGCAGCGGCGCGTCTCTGATGAGTTACAGGGGGGACCGGGACCCCTACTGATTTTCACGAGCTCAGGGTCCCCCCTGTAGCGTAGCCCATCAGGTAAGTCGCTGGGTTCAACTGTATCCTCAAAATTCCTTGGGGTTCACTACCCATGGAAATAACATTTTCCGAACCTCTACGTCAATTTAGAAAACTTGTATTTTTGGAAGGGGGCACTTTCTCCGAGCTTTTTTCCGATTATGCTACCGATGATCAAAATTTCGGCTATTGGGCAACACTGTTGACAAAAAGAAGAATCTTGCTCCATAGAAACAAATCATGGTTCCATGTCCGACTTTTCATAACCTAAAATCCTTTGATTGTTCGTAAAAAAATTTGAGAGAAAAAAAATTGGAACCATGTGACAAAATTTCGAGAAAACTGCGGTTCAGCCGTCAAAATTGATGCACAAATTCACAAGAAAATTCTTGCCGTGGCTTCTCCTGCGCATCGTCTTCGTTCTCTTCTGCTTCGCCGAGACAGCCGCCAAGATGAAGCTCAACTATTTCTGCTACTGTCTGTCACTCCAGGTCGGAGTGAACATGCTAGCAGCCATTCACTTCGTAAGTTACTGCTCTTTCAGTAGTTATTTTATCAATCTATCTTGAGGATGACAGCATTCCATTGTTTTCAAGAGAGAACGATAGATATCACCCCAGTAGCACAAATTGTAATAAGTAGCATTTGCATAGTAAAAATATTGAAATTCCACTGATTGTTGTGTATGTTGCCTAGCCCCTATTTGGAAGGGCCCCATTTCTTGAAATTTAATGCAGTTATTTTCCATTGCATTGCATTTTGCTTATCTTTCTAACACATGCAGCTCATTTTGTTGATTGTTTAAAATCGATATAAATCGACTAAATGATGTAAAAATATTGCAATTAAATGGTAAAAAATTACAGTTTTATTGAAATAAAATTGCAATTTAATTTCAATATTTTTGTTGCACTGTGCTACTTGGACTGTGGTCATTGAATGGCCCCTCCATTTGTACTTTACATCGACAGTGCCTCCTTACATCCCGATCAGGAGATGGTCTTCGGAGCATGGCCGGATTTTGGGGGTGGCCACATGGGCCGCGGCCCATGGCGGCAAATTTTGCAATTTTTTGAAATGTAGCAATAAAGAAAAATCGGATTCAGAAAAAAAATTACAAACGAGGTAAGGTGAACAAATCTCATTTCCTGAGAGTATATCTCTAGTTTTGTCGTCTTTCTGTGATACAATGGACAGCATCATTAATTAGTCGAGTTAATACTAAGAGAGAAGCCGAACACAGAATTTGGCCTGGAACAGAACGGCGCGGAGAGCAATGATGACAAGGATTTGAGATGAAAAGGAAAAACCCTCCTTCGGCCCGGCGGCGCGGCGGTCGGCATGTAAGACATATCAGCGCCTACAGGACTGCATGAATACTTCACGCATTGCGTCAAAAACAGCGCGGTCCCTGCGGTCAGCAGCGGGCGGCGTGAAACGCATAGCGCCTACAAGACTGCATGAATACTTCACGCATTGCGTCTTACACAGTGCGTGCACGCCGTGCAGCAGCGGAAACGCATAGCGCATACAAGACTGTAAGAATACTTGCGCAAGAATACGCATTGCGCCAAACACAGTGCAGTCAGCGCGGCGCGGCGGAAGTTAAAATTATTAAACTATACATTTCTGTTTGTTCTTTCATAAATTTTTCGTTCATTTCATACAAATGGAAGGCCTTGTCCGCACAGAGATAGGTTTACGGAGCTTAACTTTCGCGCCAAGTTCCATGAACTTTTGCCAGTAGTGTTGACAGGGCTTTCGCAAAAAATGTATCCAACACGAGTAAACGCGCCTTAGGCACCCCTCCCCTTCCAACACGTTCACTTGATGGTTTTTATTGATGTTTCAAAATGAATGAGAGGGGGGAGACAAAATACAGTCGGCTCATGGAAGCAAGTAAGTAAATCCGGCCCTGCTTCGGAGAATGTAACTGTCTCAGATAGACACAGATTTGACTCGTACGATTGCCATAGAGAATCCGAAAAAAGCAATGAGCGGCGACCTTGAGTTTCTTGTGAGCAGGGTGGTACACCTGCAAAATCAATAACAGGCAATTTTTTGCCATTTCATTGTTTACTTCAATTTTTTTTCCTTGAATATTTTTACACAAGAAAATCAACACCTAATCTACAACGTTTCTATTTTGTTTTTCAGACCATCGCTTTTATAGTGCTCCTCTCTTTAAGCTTCACACCCAGGCCATCGAACACACGGGATGATAACCCTCGTAAGTACCTCCCTTTGATTCCAGTCACCTATCACTGTAGAAAATCTAAGCCCCGACTAGAAGTTAAAGATCGTGATTTGAAAGAATTGTAATTAGACTACATTTTGCAAGAAGGAAACCTCTTTTCTGGCTCATACATAAAATCACCCATATACGCGAGGACACTACGCAACGTGCGTTGTTTCTAAAATGAGCCAGAGATAGGGGTTCGACATTGCAAAGAGTAGTCCAATTAAATCTCTGATTATTACACGCATCATACTTCATGTGTCAGTGAAATTCTTTATATTCACAAAATTGTATTCACGGGTTTTCCGTCGGCTAAAAATGAGCTGACATTTTTGACACGACGCCGAGATGCCAATTTCCCTACGTTTGTTAAAGTTACTGATCTCCTCGTAAAAATGAAAACTGCATCTATGAAAATCGTCTTATCAAGATCTGCGTTTATGTCAAGGTCTGAGCGGAGCAATCGAAGATGACAGTGAATCGAATCCTCGCACACCTTTTGTAAATTAATCGGAAGAAAATTATTAATAGAGCTCTTTGATCTTGGTCCGACAAATTCAAAACGTGGGATGCCGAAAAAGAAAAAAATAAATAATTAAAACAATAAAATAATTATTAATAGAAAAACCACCATATACATTGGCGTAAAATGTATCGAGGATCCTTGTGTAAAAATTTGCTTTCTTGAAAATGCATCATTTGAAAATGAGAAATTGCTAGGAGAAAAAAAAAGTATGAATATCTTACATGCATGAAATGAAATGCATATAGCTCGATACTCAACTTAGAACGAATTTTATGATTACAGTGGCATATCTATTGGTGTACGTGTACCTGACAATTGCCATCATTGCATATAGTATAGCTGTCGTTGCCTCATTTTTGGTAAGTTCATATGCTGCCTTTAAAACAAAAGACTCATGAATTCAAACCAATATACAACATTTTCAAAGAATACGTAAACTTATGTTTATGACTTGTAACTTGAGTCATTTTATGCGCATTTTTTCGTTACAAGCGTTTAATTCTTAATCTTAAGATTTGTCGTCTCAGACCATTTCTGCTTTCTTCAGCGCCTCAAAGTTTTAAAAATACCAAAATCTTTTATTTTCCGTTAAATCCTCGCTTGTAAAGGCACCTGATTCTTTCTATACAGTTGTGGAGAGGCCTCTTACTTATACCTACGATCGCATGCAGTATAACTTGAATTACATTTCAAGGTAGAATAAAGTAAAAAATTGTATTATAATTTTTTTCAGGAGTACAAGGTTATGTACAGAACATCTTACTTTCTGATATTCATTTCGTTCTTATACTGGCTAGTACTCTGTGCACTTGCTTTTTTCGGAGATCAGCATTTAAGAAGGTAAGCTTTCAGTTAAACTACCGTCATCAAGAATGTTCAGTGTCTTTAGTACATGGTCTTGGTCGCAGTCACAGTCATGACAAGACTGGATACAACTTTTCGTGCTTGAATGTTGTCTAAGTTGCTTACAATAAATTAGAAGGCGTTGGCTTTGTAATGACCCAAGTGACACCCAAAATGCCGGTTCAAATTGGTTACTTGTCATTCCATGGGCCCATAATTTAAGTGCATGTAGGTTTTACGCTGCTGAAGTTGAAAGTGACCTTAATTTTCCTCCGTAATCTACAATTTTTTTCGGAAAATCGAATTTTTCAAAAGATTGCTTTTTAACTGCAAAGAACCGTGTATTTTTGGAAAATTCGACTTTCCTGAACATTGGCAGATGACGGAGAAAAATAAGGATCATTTTTTGCCTCGGCTGACAGAATAGGCTTAAGTAGGGATTAACCTCATTAGATACCCGGGCTCGAGGGTGGGGGGTGGGAGAGAGAAAATCTCCCGGATAATTCGTCGGACGCAAAAATAATGTATCACATTTATAAGGTGGTTTATAGGCCAATTTTTCCATTTATGAGTGGAAGGAAACCTTGTTATCAGGAAAAGCAGAATAAATCTTTAGATATGTGTCACGTTTTTTGCTGGCTGTATCGCTGATTTAAAGTTTAAGTTTAAGCGTTTAAAGTTTCCACATTTTGTCCGATCTCTCGTATTGACTCTATCCTCTGTGCAGCGGCTTATAACGTCGACATAGCGAATTTTCCTGGTCCCTTGAATATAGTTACAAGTGTTGCCTCCCGTGTCAAAATTAAGCCATAAGTCAACAGAATGGGTCTGTTCCCACAAGAGAAACGACTAACTGAGTAGACTTGTCTAAGAAATAATCGCACAAAAATCACGCTACGCAAAATTTTCACAGTGCACATCGCGCATTTTCAAATTTACCTCGTCTGCAGAAAAGTCCTCGGTCTCCGGCAATCAGGCTGAGAAACGTAAGAAAACCTTAACGAAGAAAATGACAAACTTACAAGAAAGAAATGAACCATCTTGCAAACTGTTATTCGCCTTTGATTTCATTTTTTTTTCAAGCGTTTCTCAATTTCTTATCTTGTCACGAAAACAAATTCTACGAGATACTTGAAATCATAAGTAAGGAAGATCTAAGATCACGGTTTAAAAAAAAGAAAAAAAAATTACAAGGTAAATTTGATAATGCATGGTATACAGTAAGTAAATCGTGTGATATAGGGTGGATTTTAGTCATTTCTGATCCGTCTATCGTGATTCCCATACGACTTTTCCCTACGAGAAAATCTATTCAGTCGGCTGCATCTCTTGTGTGCAACAAACTCATTATTTTTCGCCGTGTATTATTACTTGTTTTAGTCTTGTTTGCATAGATTACCGATGCGGGCAAAGTATGTGGCTCATCTCGTTCCAAAGAGCAACTTACATCTCTGGCGACTGCCGGGCTTTCATCCCTCAAAGAGTGGCTCTGGGTCGAGTCAAGCGATACGATTACTTTCCTGGGGATCCGGAATCTGTGACTGAACTCATGGATCCATCGTCCGTCGACTACAACAAACTTTTCGGCCTCAAATTGACCGAGCTGGAACCCGTTTCGGGAGGCTCTCGAGACCCTGAGCTTCCAGCTCCGGTGAAGCCCAAAAGAAGAGGCTCGAAGCACGCAACCCCCGGCTTGAACCACACAAGCCTTAGAGAGGAACCTTCACTGTTTCCGAAGAGAAATGAAAGTAATGCATACGATAAGCCGTCAAAATTTGAAGATGCCAGAATTTCCCTGAATCCCGATCACACTAAAAAATCACCCCCTCACACCTTCAAGCCCATTTCAACCATTATCATCGCCACAGAGTCGTTTAACCTCACCTCCAGAGATCATTCGAACTCCACCAGCCCATCAAAGTTACCTTCCCACCAGTTCTCAGAATCTGATTTTGATGAACCATCGTCGAGATCTGCGACTCATATTTCACACACGCAAAAAATTGATAATCCTAGGATTAAAACTTTAGACTCGAAGCAAAATTTATCAAACGAGAAAAACATTTTTGACGATAAAAATCCAACTTCAATGATTGACACAGAGAAAACCATACCGTTCATTCAAAATTCCAATGTGAAAAACGAATCAGTCCAAGTTTCATTCTCCACGGAGGCCTTGAAATCGTGCGGGGTGGAAAACTGTTCCTCACGCAAAATGGGAGATTTCACGGAGAGTGTTGTCGCGGATACTAATATTCAAAGCGCTCAGCAGTCTACCGAGTTTCCTCAAAGTGAAAATTCCACGGAATCTTCTCCGAGTCAAAAAACCGAAGGCATCACCGGTTCTGAGATTATCGGAGATGCAGCCATTCAGCAAGACTTGGACGATTCTTCTCTAAAACAAAAACTTGATGGAAACTTGTTTAGTCAAAATTCCTCGGACTTACCCTCGGCTCAAGATATAGGCGTTTTCCCCTCACCCCCAAAACTGAATACCGAAGATCTCCCTTCCAATGAAAACGAAGATTTCACGCTGACGTTAGATGACATTCTTCCGAGTCAAAGTACGGAGGATTCGACCTCGATTCCAACTTTCCCGGACGTAACTTTCAGTGAGAGCACGGAGGACTACGCTACAACTCCGAATCCTGTTGGCCCCGCTTCGGTCCAAGGAGGCTCAAAATATTTCCCGGTCTACCGAGACCCAGAGGAATCATCCTCCACTGACAACATCGACGATTTCACTCTATCCGTAGCCAACCTAAATCTCTCGAGTCAAAACTTTGACGAATTTACCGATGTAGCGGAAGATTTTACCCTATCTACGCCAGCTCCTCAGGTAGTAAAAGTATTTTCCACGAGTCAACTTGCTGACAATATTTCGACCATGGAAGATTCCTCGTTGGATGGAAACGGTGAGGGTTTATCTTCGAGTGCGAACCCTGAGTATGTTCTTCTCAGCCAGAATGTTGAGGATGCACATTCGCGACAGGAGACTGACGGGTTACTGTCCAAGGATTCATCGTTCAGCCATACTCTCGGAATCGACGATCCTGCAAGTGTGAACGAATCGCATTTTAAAATCCCGCCAGACGCCTCCTCTGAGCCTGAGGTACCTAGTATTATTGTGAAATGTTTAGTTATTTTGAATGCTCATAAATGCATATAAATGCACCATATCATCGCTCCTCTGGCATATATAGGCATATCTTTATTTCCTCAGGAGCCCTGAAAAGCATAAGGTTATATGGACTACATTTTGCAATTTAAAACTATAAATTCTAGCCCGGTTTGAAAACAACGTATATGCCATTAGTTTCCCAATGCACATACTAATTTACATAATATTTACATAATTTTACATAATTTTCCAGAAGAGCAAGAATGTATGGTTCCAAATTGCAAAATGCAGACCATATGGAAAGCAGGGCTCATGAGGAAATTGAGATACGCCCTTACGTTAGAGGGACGGCGGCGCGGCGTGCTGCCAGCTCGAAACGCGCACTGACGCCTACAAACCCAAGGGGATACTTCAAGCATTGCGCGATGCGTGAAGCAGCCCGTTAGGTTTGTAGGCGTCAGTGCGCATTTCGAGCTGGCGCGACGATACATAGATGGCTTCTTTTAACAATGAAGGTTTTACCTCCGCGTCGACACTCTTCACCAAATACTTATTCTAAGTAACCGGATATAACTCGCTAATTTACGTCCCGCTACATTATTGATCGGAGTTTGAAATGATGCAACTATTCGGCCCTCGAGGCCGCGTTTGTTATCTTTTCACAATGAAGGCGCCTTCACGTTCTTCGTGAAAAAATCACCATGAGCAGTCGCATTTACACACTAGTTCACGCTATGTTATACCGTTGATTGGGTTTTTGAATGATGCAACTATTCAGCCTCCGAAATGACGCTAGGAAGTATCTTTTTACGTTGAAGGCGTTACTTATGCGTCGTCACTCTTCTTTCATTAATATATATCCAACCCTATTTACGTTTAATTATGTTTAATCTTATTAAAGGAAGGGTATCGATAAAGGCATTTTTGAGCCACTCAAGCTGAATTATTCCTTAACTCTACGATTTTTAGGTGTATCTTCACCAAATCAACATGATGCATCACGATTTGGTTATAACCGGTTTCTTTTCGAGCCAAACACTGACCTAGAAATGGGTCTGAGGGCCGATTTCGGCAAAAATGCAGATTTTTTGACAATCGACCGCAAACCCGCAAAATCTGCATATTTTGACAAAATCGGCCTTCAGACCCATGTTTAGGCCAGTTGCAGACCCAAAAAGAAACCAGTAATGACCAAATTCTGATGCAGTCCGTAAAAAAATAGATTCTTAATGAGCAAAAAGTCGTGAAATTAAGGAAATTCATTGTGACTATATAAAAAAGAGCCCTCATCGATATCCCTCCATTGTCTTAATGTGTCCTGGACCGAATTTTTACATTTTATACCGTCGAGAAGTAAATTGGTCCTTCTTATTTACAAATTTGTCCCAAAATTTTGTGACAGTTGGCGGGCGACCCATTATCATTTTACTACAATAAAAAAGACGCCCCTCCTCAAACGATCGATCCCCGCACGGTGACTCTATTCGTGAAACGTGCTGCTGATAACAGAACCGGTCACGGCCCGGAGGGCGATCCCATAAGAAGTGACAACGAAGACCGAGAGAGGGCGCTTCTCGAGCCGGGCGGAGCCAGAGTGACGGAATTCGGAAGAGACAGAGAGGAAAAACTGGAAGCCGTAAGTATCGAGAACGAAGTTAAAATTCCGCGACATCAGAATTTGCAGAAAACGAGGAGATTCCCGTCAAACGCGGCTTCGAAGTCGAGCGCGAATCAACGGGAACCAGACTACGGAGGAAGTGGTGACAGCGGCTACACGAGAAATTTTCCAATGCACCCGCGGAGGAAGTTTTTTCAGAATCGAGGGCGAGCCAGGTACTTGAATGGCGACTACGCAGCTGCTGAGCCTGAGCCTGACGGTCACCGGGAGAAATCGGATGTATCTTTTGAGGAAAATGACCACATGAAAAAGGATTTGATAGGCGAAAACGCTAATAATGCCACACGGAGGAGGAACGGCAAAGCCAAAAAGGTGAGAGTCGAAAAAAGTATGGTAACATCTACCATAAGTCTACTTCATTTTTTACATCGTGATACTGTTTAGTGAAAAGAACCAGAATTATAGTCGTGTTCACTAGAACTCTAGTGATACTTGCCAAAGTATGGTAAATGCTACCATAGAGTCTGGTATTTATTACCATCATCACTGTGCTAGAGTATGATGAAATCTACCATATTTTCTTTCAGCTTAGTTTTTTATACTTCTGAAGATAATAGGTTGCACGGTTACGCCTAACCATCATAGATGTACCCCAATAAATTGTGGCTGTGCCCCAATTTATTAGGTTACTAACACAAATTCTGAGACACTATCCCCAACTTGAGTTGCAGTGCACTACCAATATTAATTTGAAATGTCTACAATATCTAACAAATTGGGGTAGCGCCACAATCTTAGGGGATAACCCCTGACACTTTTTTCCCGTGTATAATACTCTCTTGAAAATAAAAAATGACCCTCTATTATCTTTTTATTCGCAGCGGCCCCAGCAAAGGCAGAGAAAGCCAACAACGGAACTTCCAGATCATGTGGATAATCCGGAAAGCGACGGTGTGATCGATGAGGACGCATTCTACTACAACGATGGAAACGGTCCACCGCTGAAACAGGGCGAAGGCCAAGGAGCCTCACAACCCCTAATCGCGAAGCCACCCCCGATGCGGACCATCCCTACTCCTGCCGAAACGGTGGCCCAGGTGGACGATGCGGGTATACCTTTGCAGAACTCCAACCCTTACGGATACTTCCCGCCGAGCCTGAAAGAGAAGTCGGCGAACGCTCTGCCGCGGGGCTTCCTGCCGTCGGAGGCCATCCCGCCACCCGGCTCCAGGTCTGGAATGGACGCCGCGGTAGATGCCCTCAGGAACCGCGTTCCCGGCGCGGGAAAAGGTTCCAGGGACGGGAGGATCATCACAACCAGCGAGGGTTACGGACAGGGTTTCTGCATATTCTATTCGGATCCCACGCTTTTCTATAGGGTTGCTTCCTTGGTCCTCTTCTTCACCAACATAGGTAAGAATGTCCTATTGGTTCACTTATTTGCTTATTCATTTTTACTCTCTCGCTACCCTAGGGTAAAGGAAGTATTTTCATCCTGCAAGGGGGGAGATGAAATTTCATCATTTCTAGACGTTTTAAGGTCCCAGGAGTCAAAATAACCATACTTGAAAAAATATGCGTCCGTCCGCCAGGCGTCCCCCAAATCTGTCTACAGCGATATCTCAGAATCTATCTGTTCGATTTCATTCAAAATTTGCAGAGAAGACCATATCTTTGGTCTCTTTATTTATGTACTATAACACTGGAAATTGATGCTAGCACAAATTTAAAAAATTTAAAAATCAACGGGTAAAGTGTAAAAATGTATGTATTTCCGATTCTGATGTCGTAAATCATCGCTCGTGTTTTATTTTTTAAAAAGTATAACTTGTGTTATCATTTCTGCGAATTTTCTCCACTCATTCAAAAATATTTACAAAAAAATTCAGTGAGATAATTAGTTCATTGATTTCATGAAAAACTAAAATGTAATCGGGAATTTTAAACTTCGCAGTAGAATGACGGGAGCGGGACTGAGAGAAAACAAATCAACTAGCAGCAGCAAAGAAGAGGGAGGAAAAAAATAATTTAGTTTTTTATCCCTTTCACTATTCGATGCTTTACGCAAGGCATCTATGCACAATAGATAATCAGGAAACAAAATGTAGTCTAGTCGTCCATTAAAACTTATCACGTCTAATTTACTGACATTTCTTTACACTAAATGGGGGGTTGAACTATGTTCCTATGATCAGGAATTTACCTAAAAGTAAGTGATATTATTGTTGGAAGAGATATTTGGTTTCTAGCTGGAGCGTGTGGTTATATTCTTGGAAATTGCACCATCGCCCCTACCTTTGAGACACTTCAATCGTCACCGGTGATGTCATACGGATTAACCTCCTTTTCTCTTTACAAAAGCTGGACGTTAAGGATTACTTCTGAAGTTTCAATGCTGTTCGTTTCCGAATTATCTAGTCTCAAATTTATCTCTGGAGAGCGGCTCGGGAATAATGAGTTAAATTACTCAAAGAGATCTTAATTTCACCACTTCCGGTACAGAATCACACTACTGGAATAAGGGTAAAGTAATCTACCAAAGTTTGAAAAAAAAAAAATGATTTAATTTTGGACCTCTTTGACACCAAATGAGTGAGTTGATATTTCTGCTACCGTTGAATTCAAGGCAGAAATATATTTCATTCAAACTCCTAAAAATCACTACATTTTCATTTTTTGGTCGGGAAAAAAAGAGCTCTGAGGTGAATAGACGTGCTCGCATCTACCGGCGCGGAATTTCCAAGAATGTAATCCCTAACGTCATAGCTGGAAACGCGCTGTAAAGTGAAAAACTCGGTCGTCCCAACTCTGAACCGGTTGCATGAATTTTCAGTTCTGATCGTGTACACCCTTCTCGTCATTCGGAGCCACCTCCAGAGCTGGAACGAGGATCCAGACGATGACTCGTACTGTTCCTCGGACGAGAGTGACACCTTACGGGAAGGATCCACCGTGATCGACTCTCAACCTTCCAATAGCGGCCTTCGCGCCGGCGGCGGCGGGGGCAGTAGCAAAAAGCGCAAAAGACTCAAGAAAAAAAGGAGCTGCACTGACTCGATATGCTCGGACTACGTGCCTAAAAGGAAGAAGAGTAAAAAGAGAAAGAAGAAGAAGCCCAAGTGCCTTAGAGTGCCCCGTCCGATTTTCATTACTCAACCTCCACCGATTTGCCCTCCGTGTCCTCCATGTCCGCAGCCGCCTCCATGCCCCGAGATAAGAATACCTCCGTGTCCTACGATACCTCCATGCCCGCCGTGTCCGCAACTTCCAGAGAATCCGTGTCCGTCAGTACATATCATGACAAGTCGGCCGCCGTGTCCGCCGCTTTACTGTCCACCGCAATGTCCGCCGCAATGTCCGCCACCACCGCCTCCGTGTCCTCCGCGATCGCTTTTCGCACGCCGCCTCCCTCCTGGCTGCCCTCCCAATGGACCGAACATCAAACGTGAGATGTGACCGCAGCTTCTGCCACTTGGGAAACTCGGGTCGAAACATTGACATCAAAAATCTGTAAAACTGGAAACTCCACACGCCAGAAAATACCCCCAAAAAAGTCTCTGACTCAGAATTTTAACATTCGCTCCTAAAGGCGAGGTCAATATCCAAGAATGTAATCCCATTCGCTGCAAGCTAGACAACCTTAACAGCTAAGTAGGTAGGTGCAAAGTCACCTGACAACTTGAATCTTGATTTTTGAACGATCTTAATTATTAGGTATTTAGTTACATACCTATTTTTATGTTTACTTCGTTAACTAACGATAGTAAAACTAACGATTATTAAATTAACTTTTGTTCAGATAACGTCGTATGCCCTCATCAAGCTATCCATTTATTAATTAATTTATTAGTTACTTTGGTATGTATCATGTTATGCCGCATTCACACGCTGAATTTGGCAGCTGAATATTTAAGTCAACAGTCATTGCTCAGCAGCTGAAATTTCGCAAATTCGAGATACCTTTTTCCAAATGTGTATCAAATCTATTCGAATAGTTGAGACAAATCCGACATTTTCCGATGGTCGTTGAGAATCGTTGCTGCATTTTGCGCGACACGCGCAAAATTCAGGCATCAGGCCGATGACTTCCACATTCAAGCTACATTCAGCTCCCATATTCAGCGAGTGATTGCTGCATGAAGGGTCATGTCAGGTCACTTAATGACGTTACTGACCGCATCTACAAGATAAATGAAAACATGCAGGTGGCATAATGGAGTTTTATGGAGTCTTCGCGCGTGTTTGGTTTACCTTGTTTCCAAATCCGTCTTGATCTTTTTTGACCCTCATGGGCGTAGCTAGGGGGGTCCTGGGGGGGCCTGCCCCCCCAGAAAAA